CCCATAACGCTATTACCGCACATAGCGAAACTTTTTGAGAAAATTACACTCCAAAGAATATTGCCGCGTGAGTTGCGTGAGGAGAAATTTGGCTTCCGCAGAGCACATTCCACCACAGCACAACTAGCCCGCGTGCTACACTATCTTGCGGCCGAATATAACTGCGGCCGCATCAATGTGGGGGTCCTTCTCGATATGGAGAAGGCCTTCGACAGAGTGTGGCACGCAGGGCTACTATACAAATAATAGCGGCTAATAGCGTCGTTTCTGGAGGGGCGGAGCTTTTACGTCAATATCGAACATGCTGTTTCGGTAGCACGACCGATCGAAGCGGGAGTGCCACAGGGCAGCTGCCTGTCACCGCACCTGTACGCGGTTTATACAAATGACATCCCCACACTCCAAGGCCTCCTGGAGGAGTGGGAAGAAGATGTCGTCTTAGCCCTGTATGCAGACGACAGTGCGTACTTCACGTCATCTCGTCGGGTAGAGATCGCGGCCAAAAATATGCAGCGTCTGCTGGACCTGTTACCTCAGTGGCTGGATAAATGAAGGATGACGGTCAACGTCGGGAAGACCGTCGCCTTCAAGACCAGGCTAACGCATACACCACCAACCCTAAAACTCCGTGGGCAGGACGTGGGTTGGGCAACTACCTAAAAAACCTACGTCCGCTCACGGCTGACGTACGCAGCGCCAACCTGGTACGCGTTGACCTCAGCCACTCAGCGTAAGAGGATGCAGGCCCAGCAGAATCTTGCACTTAGAGTGATCGTGTGAGCCGGCCGTTACGTCAGGAATGATGTTATTTCCAGAGATCTAAAGATCGAATCCATACATGACTTCGTGGCCCGTACTGCGAGACGGTTGTTCGACCGCGCAGATAACACATCTACACCTGCAAAATCTAGCTCCACTCCACGCCCGCCTACCTGACTGGCGGCCGTTCCCACGAGAACTTCTTTGCTCACCGCCCAGCGACGGGGACGCCGGGGACGAGTGAGAGCCCCGATGCCCGATCTGATGGCGTGTAGTAAGCAACACACCAACGTACAAGCTGCGCACAATCGCAGCACCCAGGACCGGGGGAGCCGTTGCCCCCCGCGATGATACCCAGGTAGACCTCGAGACCTGTAGAACCTCCTGTCCCCAGAAGGGGGACCAACAGGAGAAGAATACCGATACAAATCGTTCGGAACCAGCTACCAGTATAATATATAATCAAGAAAGAAAACGTACAGGGAAGTGATAGGGAAAGTAATTACTCACTCACGGAGCGGTTTGAAGATAATTGCTGTTTTATTCCCAAGGGATCCTTCACCTTTAAATATAACTACATCTGGTGTCGCTAACGCGGCACATATTGAAGAATTAAGGCGCTGGGACCGGGACGACCTCGGAAGACCCGTAATCCCCGCCTGAACCTATTTGAAGAAAAGGAAGCTGCCGACACCCTTGTGTGATACTCCTTCACGGGGTTCACATACGTTGTTCCCGAACCCAACGTAGGTGTTATAGTAGAATCCGCTGTTGAACGCGCCGTGTTCAATTGCTCCTCCGTGGCCGGATTAAGTAGCGTTGTTCCTTTTCAGTAGTTTTGGCGTAAACATAAGAAATCATCATTACATACGTTATATCATATATCATGTTATTACATGAAGTTGAAATATTGAAGAAAAAAAACAAGCCAATAAATAAAGATATTACTGTATTTCCTTTCGCTACAAAATTATTTACAAGAACATTATTTTGCACATAATCATATATAACCATTACAAATGAGATAAATTAAAATTTATGTTGCAAATTTACAGAACAAATAATCACGCTTATCTAAGTTAAATATAATCATAATTACAGATCGTTACATATTGGTGTTATATAATTTATGCAGCTAGGGTTTCATATTTAGAAATTATATATTTAGAATGTATGAGATCGCACTGATATATTAAATGATGATGAAAATAGGTGTGCATATTTAAAAATCACAAAAACTGAAAAAATACTCTCCCGAAAAAAGTTTGCATATTAGGCTCATTAAGGACTGCATTGCATTATATTACTCTAGCACAGCTACTATGTAAATACAACGATATTTCAAAGTAGAGACACATAAATCTCAAAATAAGGCAAATGTTATAAAAAAATTATATTTAGTCAAAGCTTATTTCTTTACTTTAAGCTTAGTTACTTTGCATTTATTGCTGTAGCGATGGGACGCTTATTGACTGACGTAACGTATAACGTATTCATACTATTCGAATATCATTAATTATATATTTCTTTAAAAAAAACTCATATTGTGATATCTAATAGTCAGACTCACAAATTAGTCTAAATCGAGAAGCAAAATAAATTATAAAGATATTTTACGCCGCATTTACTTATAAATATTACATTATATATTTACTTATAAACAAAATCAAAAATATCTCAATTATGGAAACCTAATAGTGTAAGTTTAATTTTTACTAAAAACAATATGGCGACAGCTTAAAATAGATTAACAGGATATGAATTATAATCAACTAAATATTTCATATAGATCTGGATAACAGCGATACATCCTTTGTTTACAGGAAAACAAAATTGTACTTTAAAATAGGTACATAAAAACAAAATTTAAGTTAATTGGTCATACTGCATATCACAGCAATTGCGTTGTCACAGATACTATAACATTTCAATAAATAATTGATTTCTGTACAAGGAAATGAAAAACAATTGCTAGAAACATTAAGAAATCGACATGAACTAAAGAAGTTATCATGTTAATAAATAGGATTTTTCTTTAAATAATTACCGCATTGGGCGAATAAAATTACCAATTAGGCAAGACGTCGAGACGAGAAAAACATACGTCCCAGAAAAGTTGACACTGCACGCATGAGAACGACTATGCAAGAAAAGTCGACTAAAGCTACGGGAAATAATAACGGTAGTGTCAAATACAAGAGGAAAGGTCAAAACAAAATAGAACTATGTACCTATATATTTCGAAATTGAAAAATCAATCAATTGGCAGGTTTAAGAAACTAAATTACGCTATTATAATATATTATATTAGGACAAAATATTCTTGGAGCATAAATATACATACCTACATAATAAATGACTTACAAATAATTTTTTTATATATATTGATGAAAAAGGGATTTGTATGGCTATAATATTCGTAAATTTTGTAACTCCACGTATTATTAACATTAAGCCGTATTTACATTTACAAAAGAGGCGTAAAGCCTATTTTTTATATTACATTATTATATTATTATCATAAACTATAACAATTTAATACTAATTCCTAATCTATTTATGGTACATTTCTGTAAAGTAATACTTTTGATTAATACATATTTAGACTATTATTTTACTGTACAAAATTGAACCCATACGACAAAGGTTAGGCCAACAAGCCGGCAAACCATATAAACAATTTATTGTCAAGGCAATGAGAAGCAATCGCTAAATTCACATACACCTAATTACATAAAAACATTTCCAAAAAATCGCAATCAAAAATGTTGAACACCTCGCAGACTGCAAATTATCAAAAATTGTAAACGGTACATAAATTACATAATAACATTTGGCGATTCTCACAAAACATTCGAACATGGGCACAGGAAATCCTCGATATAAGACTCTTTTAATTAAATCAAAGCATCGTGTGTAAAAAAAATCGATTGCTTTTACATGTTTCAATTTTAGACATCATGTTCAAAACACTCGTAATTTATCATGACTACGTATGCAGTTATTATGTGCCGCAAAATATGCGCCCATGCTGCAAATATTAAATGTCATAAAATTATTTTTATTTTTTACGCATCTACGTGATCGCATTTACATATGGTATAAACAGGCACTTCTTGTGTCAATTTAAGACTATATTATTCCAAGATTTACTGCTACATACAACTGCAACAATTTAATTAATCTCCTAAACGAGTTAGAAAGATAAAAACCAAAGTTTATATTCTTTCGTATTACAAAATTTTGTGTGAAGTGTTTTAAACGCACATATTCTCAGTCTTCCTTACGTGATGCACATCTATCACTATCAATCCATCATTAAAAGTGCGATGCTAGTAACGCCAAACTTACTTTTTTTTCCAGACATTTTCACAAGACTAAAAAGTGCTAAGGCTTAGAAGTTCGTCTGAATTAATACCACTCTCTCGACTATTTCACCATGCACTCACTGCTGATCAGGTGTGAGGGGTCAAAGAACCAATATAAATACGGTAAGTGAGGCCATTCATCTGAGTCCGAAGTTGTGTCAACGCATTGCATTGGCTTTCTTAGTTTAAAGTTATTTGCAGGTGACCACAAGCAGTAATATCACTAACCATCCTGTGGACTGTTATCTTGTTTTGAACTCATTTAGTAATATTTACATAAAGTACAATTCACAAAATTAATTTAAATTTTAATATTTATCCTTTTTTATGACCTGAGTACAGTCCCTTTATAAATATTGATCACTATAAATTAATGTTAATAATAATTATCCTTTGTAAATGACTCTAATTTATCGGCAGTATCAAAATGTTTCAAAGGACTACAATTACTATAAAAGTTCCTTTGAATTATTGATTTTAAAACCATAAATAAAACGACTGACTGTACGATATTAACCACTGTAACAAAAACAGTTTAGTAGCAAACTTTGTGCACTTCATTCTATAACAAACATAGTCTTGAGTCAATTTGACTATCTTATTATTTCTCTATACATACATCATACACTGTACAAAATATTTATAAGGACGATTGCCATTTTACAGAATATATCACAAAACACCTCCGTTTGACATTTGAAATTGACTCACATATCCCTCGCACTTTACACCTCACCTATATTTAATAAATTTCAGTACTATATTAAACGGACTTGTATTGCTCTCATCATGATATCTAGGCATATCAATAGATATGCGAATAACACAATCCTAACGTGTGTGTCACCAGGATAGTTTTTAAGATAGTAAAGACTAGTGCGAGCTCGAATGTACGTTGTGTTGGGCCTTCTTCTTGCGTTGTGCTAACATGTCATAGAACGGATTGTGACTTATTGAACGACGGAGACACTCGATCCACTCATCTCGCTCTTCAGCTGTTGAAGCTGACATTCTGAAAAAAAAAATAAGCAAAAATATCAATCTACATACAAAACACTGTATTCCACTAACAGTCTGTCAAGTTAGGTTCCATACGGAAGAGGTCGCTTTTTTCAGTCTTTAAATAGCATAGCAAACAAGACTTTATCTTAGTCCTTAATGGTCACAATCAGAAACAACACACCTCAAAGCCTCCATGGCAGTAAGCCTCAAGTGGCCATCAATGGCCTCACACCATTAAATGGACTCTAAATACTTGTTTGCTATTCATATAATATAAAAAATGACACTTCTTTGGTAAATTTAATCTTCATACAGAATGGATGCAAATTAACTCCCTATAGAATGTTATTTATAACTCCTTAATACTTAATCTATTTTCATGTAACATTCTGTTACTTACTATCGGAGGATTTGTCACATAATATCTCATGTATGTCATTGCAGATATCAGCACAGCGGATCATAGGACAACGTCTCATTTTTGCGTAGAACGCTGAGAGGACTAAGCTGACATTTTAGGTACCAAGCATGGCAATTCGTTGTACAAGCACAGAGATGGTAGCAAAGTGTGAATGTACCTCATCCCGCTTTTATGCCTATAAATAGTACATATGGGGAACTTACCTAATTATTTTCGTTTCATGAACATTAGTTAAGTATTATAATATTATAACTTATAAACACTTGAAAAAGAGAAATAGGATTTTAATAATGTATAGTTTTCAGAATATTAATTAATTCACCTGATCGTAAGTGGATGGTGTGGCCCATAGACATCTAGATATATCTTTAAGATTCGAAATGTGAATGCGTTATCACCCCTGAAGGCCATGATAAAATGCCTTGTTACCCGTAAAAACAGTCTCCGATTCTTTACAATCACCATATAAAACATACATACGTAACAGAGCAAAATCTATTTTCAATTATCTAATGATTAGCTAGTATTGAGAAAAGACTACTATAAAACTACTGAAAACAGGTTAATATGAATTTAATTTCTTGACTGGCAATTGTTCATTGAACTGAAATTAAGCCTTTGTAATACGAGTTTTTAATTTAATTTTAACGATGGTAGTTCCATGAATCACTTTAAAAATATCAAATACTAAACCTAGAATTTAAAGGCTACTGATGGTGAGCAACATAACCAGTACGAGGTATTACATCTGCCCAGCATGATGAGGTATTGAGCCTGTCTTAATAAATGCTTGCTCTCTTACGCATTCTTATAAAAGTCGTCTAGATGTTCAGCATTGCAATTAAAATTAACAAGCATAGTTATGCTCAATTAATATTAAGTTTTATAAACTCTTTGGAGTAGTATGCGAGACATTGTTGTGACCAGAATTTGACACATAAAAAGTACGAGTGAGGAAATATTTGCAAACCCTCTCAAATGCTTAAGAAGTAAGTGGCAGAGTGGACAAGGGACGCCCTAAACGGAAGTTTATTGACCAAATTGATGATATACTGAAGGTAAGCTTAATTAAGAGTACTCTTAACCGACGAGCGTATTATATGCGTAGATATATGGAAGGTTCGCAATAAGTGTGTCAGAATCGTGCTAAATAGCCGTAGTTATTGCCTAATCCTCCAGGTAACAATCTTGAGTTTTGTATGTATTTATTGTTACCTATAAACAGTATGCTTTCCCTCGACGACTTTACCCTCAGAGTCAGTTTTACAGGCTTTGATGAGATCGGCCCCACCACTGGCGTACAACTCAAGGCAGTGCGGTCGTTGTCGGTCGCTCGCTGGACGGACCTGGAAATAATACGGAGGCGGTTTTTGTAAAACAAACGATATTTTTATTATAAATATGAAGTTTTATCTAGAAAAAATTATAGTATCATAGCAGAGGTAGGCAGCTCTGGGAATAAGCGCTATAGATTTCTTGGTGGTGAAGAAGAACAGGTGTGTAAATCAAGCAGATTTGGAATCTGCTTGATTGAATTGAGAAAGAATAAAAAATAAATAATAGTTTGGAAAACCCAAAAGTGCACGCATCGTGAGCGTTTCATTTAATTTTAATGAAAACAAAAATAGTGAAGAGAAAACAGAGAACCTGATCGACTTTCATTAATAACTTTTAAACGGTGTTGAGTTCAATAACAAAAATCAATAGGGACCCCCCTTAGAATATATGGAATCTTATGTTTGATATGATATATCTCAATCTATTGTTTATATTTCTATTAATCGAGAAGACTCAACGACACACAGACCAACAGACGGCAGTCCATATATTTATTAATTGATTCACATAACGTGAATCAATTAGAAAATAAAATAATCTTATAATTCAATGTCTGTAGTAATTGTAACGTTAATAAAAATATGTATTAGATGTCTAGCTAAAAGTATAAGAACGATTTTAGGTATCGTAATTGAGGTAGTGTCACATATCGAGAGTAGAGCAATATTTCCGAGACACGTATTGAGAGCGTGACAACTCTTCTCTACTCGAACCAAAGGCACTCTCAAAAATAAAAAATAAAAAGCCAGCAGTGCGATGGATATAATTGTACTATATTCTCATATTTTTTTTATCTCAGAGTAACACTATTATTGTGGAATTATTTGTATTAACTTTAAACATTATTCTTGACAATAACAACCTTAAAATTTAACCACCTTTAATATTATACGAATGTCCTTGGCTTGGCCATCTGTTAAGCTATGCTCATTACTCTGTTTCTACTGCAGTTTTCATCATCACGGACAGATATATCCGTTATGATGCACAGTTAGCTCATAATTAGTAATGTGGAAAAAGTCGACCATGTTGTAATTCAAATTAGTCAAATATTTTCATTTCGTCTAGTATAAACAATTTATTATTTTTTAAATCTAAAAACATTAGAGGGTGTGAACTGCAAGCTTAGAGGTGTGTGTCAGCTCTTCAACTATTGTGGTACGTGTGGTTACACCTAACACAAGATTATCCGCATACTTATGAAATTAACAGATTTATTAGTAATTTTAACAGCGTAACTAAGTAATTGGAAATGTTTTAAACGTAAAGTCGGTATTTTGTTAATACTTACAGATATATTTTCGAGTGGAATGATGCCTCTCGGCTCTTTGTCTGTTGTGTATTCGAAGTAATATAGACAGTTATCATTTAATATGAACCAGCGACGTTTCCATGACTTATATCTGTAATTGTAATGAACATGTTAAATTTAATATAATACGTACATTTTGATTAAAAACTAATAGTAAAGTAGTAAAGGCAAAATAGTTACTAACACGCCTTCCTGTACCCAAAGAAACACTCACACGGTAACAGTTTCAAAAATATGGGAAAATCGTAATATTTCATGACCCATAAATCAATAATTAATTCTATGTAGTGACTGAGAAAAGTTTCTTAAAGTATAACAACTAATTATGGATTATGCTAAACACTTTAAGCTTAAGTAATCATTTCTAATATTTTGACTGAATCCAAAAGCAAAATTTTACGTTAATTCTATCGCATATGAGTATCATTAAAATATTTATTGAAGTTATTAATGTACTGAGTATTTTACTAAATAAACACAAACATCATCTAGTAACAAAGATCATTTTTATAATACGCACCTGCCACCTTGCTTCCAAAGCCATCCCTCTTTGTCCGGATTGAAGAAAGTATGCATGAGATCATTGCCGTCGTCCTCGGGTATCTTGAAGGGCTCCGTCTTTATAGACTCGTATAATGACTGCAAACCAATAATAATAAAATGAATAATGTAACCGACTTGACTAGCGCTGTGCTGCTCAATGTGTGTCACCATTTGCTCCTTTCCTTATCGACCAGCCAGTTAGTTCACAGATAAGGCGGCAATTAACAAGCCTACACCTACTTTGTTTACGACGCTGGTAGCTTGACGTCAACACAGTTTAAAAGTTTGCAACTGACAAAGGTCAATGTAAACAGCACACATTGTTATCATAATTTTTGTGGTTTAGCAAGTGACGCTAAAATCAACATCATATCATAGTCATACAAAACAATTTCATTTTATTCAACGAAAACTTTATTTTTAATGAAGATGACATCTAAGATTACTATAGCGTAGGGGAATTAAATTAAAAGTAATTTAACTGCATCGAAAAATATTTAAAGAATAAAATATAATTGAATAAAACTACTTCTACGGATTTTATCGCGTATAATTTTCCTTAATTTTAATTCCCGACGTTTCGGCTGCTTTCCAGCACCCATGGACATTACGGTGATGAGCTTACGTAAAAGTTTTATTCAATGTGTAGTATTTGCGTAAATATAAGCAATCATTAAATATGTAATTTTTATTCAACGAAATCTTTTTTTTTTTCTATATAAAACGGCAATTATTTCAAATATGAAAATATTATATAATTCAATAAATTTAAGAATGAAGTTAATATTCTCCCCAATGAAGTAGGTTCTACAAATAACAGTTCTTGTTGAATCCTTTTTTTTAATACATTCAATAACCAGTAGGCAATTAATTCATTTACAACAATGGTTATCTGTCAGTTTGCAGAAGCGTGCGACTCTTTAGAAATATTAACATACAATACATACATATCTGGTGATTCACCTTTGACTTAATAAAATCGCACACAAATACTTTAAATAAATACAAGTCACATTAAAAGCAAACGCGTCAACTCTTAATATTTTTAAGCACCCAGGAAATTAATTTACCAATGTATGCAATGTGCGGGACTAATCAACATAACGTAATAAATTTACCACGTGCTCGGCGGTGAAGGAAAACCCTGCATGTCTGAGAAGTAAGAAAAAATAGTATTTCGAAGACATGTGAAGTTCGCCAACAAGCAATGGGGCAGCGCGGCGGACACTTCCTTGCCCTAAAACCCTCTCAGAAATGAGAGGAGGCTTGTGCCCAGCAGTGGGACTAACTTTTAATATTGGCCTATTGTAAAACCAAAGTTACAGTTGTTCTAATTAAAAGTTCTATTACAAAGGCTACATGCGTTATTAAACAACGAAACTTAACAGTACGGCCCTAAATATACACGTCGAACGACGTCTTATTTTTGGGACTGCTCAGTTTCAAATGTGGAAAGTGATAAACTTTTATTAATCTTAATAATATAGCAATATTGTGTTAACGAATACCACTACTGTCAGTACCTCAAAAATGTTTAATGATAGTGTATTCCAGTAAATCAATAAATATACGTACCAAGAGCAACTCCTGAGGTAGATCACCGCCGTTGTTGATCCCGCGGTTCATTGCGACGAACTGTTCCGGTGAAGGCTTATCCTTCACACTGGGGTTGTGCAATGAAGTATTGAGCATTATTATAGCGAAGCTCAAAACGTAGCAAGTGTCCGCGTTCGTGAATATGTCCGGGTTCAGTTGACAGTAACGCTGTGCGAAACATTCCATCATACGGTCGATTTTCTGTGCTTCTCCCGGCAATCGAAAGCTCCAAAGGAATTGTCTGTAATTTAAATAAATTGCTTAAAGACGACTTTATAATTACTTCACCGGCCCGTAAAGTCCACTGCTAAATACGGGCTTCTCCCGTTGTTTTGGTTTTGTCTAAAAGTAAAGTTACAGCCTATATACATCCCACAGCTGGACACAGGCCTCCTCTCACTTCTGAGAGGGTTTTGGGGCAAGAAAGTGTCCGCCATGTTGCCCTTCTTCGAAATATTTTTTTTACTCCTACATGCATGTATGAGACAGCGCATTATAATTATTAATAATTAATAATAATTAATTTCTATATAAAAGTCATCTAAAAATATTCATTCTTCCAAGAGAAAACTAAACGAACTAAGTTACTAAACAAACACAACGTAAATAAGGGAATAACTAAGACGATCACGCCATAAATATAACTAACGGCCTAAAACTAAACTTTAGGTCGTTGAGAAAGATCTTACACTGGTTTCTTCACGATGTTTTCATTCACCGCCGAGCACGTAGTAAAATCAGCACTTAAATTTGCAATTCTTTTTTGATGTGCTTTAAAATAATTGCCTAAAATTTTACAGCGAGCGCCAAGCCACTGAGTCTAACTGACCATCATTGGCATGCAAATTGGCGATCGCAAATCCAGACGTCTTGCACCTTTGACGCTGCTCTTCGTATCTAGCGGAAGCCATAAGATCTTTTTGGCATATACCGTAGTCGCCTATTACGACACTCACGGGTCAAAATGGGGTTATGGATTTCCTTACGCTGTGCCGCCACAAGTATCATATAACTTTACTTAACATTTTACTTAACAAAGCATTAGTCAACTAAAATAAATCATGATTATCCAGGTATAATGATTCTATAGCATAAACACAAGCATTAAGTTACAGTGCGTCTCAAAGTTCGTCGTTCGACAGTTTGCGAATTGTCAACATAGTTAAAAATAAGCTGCTCTCAATATGAGAGGCTTAGCCGTAATTACTGTGCTTGTATGGCGGACTGGCGATCATAGCACCACACAATTAGGAACGAAATGCTGACAAAATCAACAGAAAATTATGATTTAAATAAATATTAACATTTAAACATATTAAAAAAAGGATTCGTACGTTACGCTAGCTAGACGTGTAGGTGTATTTTGCCTTATATTTCTACACCTTAAAGGTACTGATTCGAGTTACAAAAGATAAGAAAGGATTTTAGGGGCGCACTGAGACATATCCTTAAAAAATATGGTAAAATTATCTTCTAAAAATATTACCTTGATTCAGTATTGATTATTGTTTCTTTAATAATTAAACGCATGTTTTAGAGTAGTTCTATCATAATTATACGGATACTTTACTTAAAGATTATTGAGCAAACATTTAAAAAGTTGTGAAAACAATTGTTAAAACATAATTAAAAATTATGTACAACCGACTTCAATATAAATTATTAAGAATAACTCAAAAACTATTGGTCAGGCCTTGATCAAATTTGTATGGGACCACATGAGAAACACCAGCTTTAAATAAAAAAGAAAGAATCATCGAAATCGGTTCACCCAGAAAAAGGCTATGAGGTAACACACATATACATATAAAAACATAAAGTCGAATTGAGTACCTCCTCCTTTATAAAGTCGGTAGAAAACAAACAATTACATATTTCTATGAGTCATGAAAATACGTAGATTTAAGTTTGCAATAGTAATGCAACGTGTTATTTGTTTTAGACATTTTAAGCTCGTTACAAAGTACAGCCGTACATTTATTTACACAGTTATCGCTTCTCTACTTCCTGACAAGTGACGTCATGGTCACTTCCGAATCATATAACAGATATCTCTTTCAACCAAAATACTGACAGTTATAGATAACAAGAGTTGTTATATTGATAGGCGTTTGAATCATATAATTTCAATTTATTTACGAAAATTCCGATCCGATTTCGACGGGACTTTCCCGTCGAAATCGGATCGGAATTTTATCTGTATATTCTATCTGTCTGCCTGTCTGTTTTTTCCGGCTAATCTCCGAAACGGCTTGACCGATTTAGACGGGACTTTCACTGGCAGATAGCTGATATTATAAGGAGTAACTTAGGATATTTTTATTTTGGAAAAATAATTAATGTTGCGTGCAAAAAATTAAAACCCATGAAACTTCCCGCGACTTCGCCCGCGTGGATTTTACTAACTACGTTAGTAAAATCCACGCGGGCGAAGTCGCGAGGGACAGCTAGTTAGAATATAAGCAACGGTGTAAAAAAAGAGCCGTGGTAGCTCAGATTGTTAGCGCTCGCTGTAAGTTTCACAGTGCACGAGAAACCCGGGTAAGCCGGCACCAATGAAATCGTTAATTGCCATTTTAAGTACTGATTTACCACGTGCTCGTCGCTGAAGAAAAAATATCGTCAGGAAACCTGCATGTCTGAGTAATAAGAAAAGTATTTCGAAGAAACGTGAAGTTCGTCAACACGCATTGGGGCAGCGCGGCGCACATTTACTCGACCTAAAACCCTCTCAGAAATGAGAGGAGGCCTGCGTCCAGCTGTGGGACGTATATAGGCTGTAACTTTAAGGGTGTAAAAACTGCTGATTTACTATGAAATTGGTGGTGAAGTAAAATCTTGTGGGGGTAACCTGCTTAAGTAAGATATTTTAAAACATGGGAACGTGTTGAGTTTGCCAACACGGGTGGAGACATTTCCCTCAAGATTAAAATTGGATTCTTAGACCTTTTATCTTATGAAAATTATTCTGAGGAAGGTTATTTAACAATGAGCTAAATCAAGTTATCTAATCATCGCAATTCATAAATTATATATTATGTATAAAACGGAAATATATTACCGTAGCTAGGCTAGCCTTATCTTATTAATGTTGTTAACAGCTACAGTAGATTAATATCATATTTTTTATAAAACTGAAACTGAGGCAAATTAACTTATAGATAAAACTAGCTTTTACGGATTTTATCGCGTTTATAAGCTTATTTTATATTCCCGACGTTTCGAGTACTTTACAGCACCCATGGTCACGGGGGGACTTAGGTGTATGACGTCCCAATGTCATAGTTGATCACGCCTACCGCCAGATTAAAATTATTAATTTTTGTTCCGATCTACGCAGTATGAACTTACAGTATCTTGAAGTCTTGCAGTTGTATACTTGGATTGGGATTTAATTTTATTAATTACAGGAACCCAAGCAGATGGTAGCAGACATGGATGGATGGATGGCTAGATCAGTTCTATGAATATCTATGTTTAATTACAATTTTATGATAAATTTTACAATATAAAGTCACAAAATTATTAACACATAGACGTTAACAATAAACAAAAAATAATAAAAAATTCAATAAATAAAAAAAAGTCAAATTACGAGTACATGTCAACAGGACTCAGATGAAATGCCACAACCTGTAATTATAGTGGCTCTCTATCCAGACCAAAATATAGCAGCATAAGCACTATTTGGGCAGAAATTGGTAAGAGGGTGGTACTAACGTAGAGTAGATCCTAGGCAGAAAATAAGCCCTGCCACCTAACTTATTCATTTTGCTTTTATATTTTATACTTATCTTGTTATGTTATTTTTTATTCAATTTTACAATGTTCCAACACAAAGACCACGCACGGACATTATCACAAACAGGATATGCGCAGGCAGAACATATACCTACTTTTTGTGACTAAAGCAGCAAAAACCCATTAATACATCGATTATTCATGTTATCGCACTTAATTCTGAACTAAAATGCGAGATATGCATTTCCTCTTAAATAACTATAATTCCCATACTAATTATTTTGGTGAATTAATAATAATTTTTCATATCGGCTTGCCGCCCGTGGGTAAGCCCCGCCATAAGAAGCGACAGAGGGAAACTGACACAGGAAATGGGCATGGTATCTTTGTGATAACAGCTCCAAACAATATAAAAGCGATTGCAAATGCGCTCGCCGAACGTGGCAACTATTGCAAATATTATGATTACCTTATGAGGAGAATCTATAGGGGAGCCCAATGTCCAGCAGTGGACTTTTGATAAGCTGTAGGTAATTATCATAATAGCGCTGATGATGATAAAATTTGGCGCCTCGTCTATTATAAAATCGCTTTCAGGTCTTTGATGAAGAATGATGAAATGACTTCAGTGGTTACGTTTTTTTTTATAGGATAAGGGTGACAAATGAGCACACAGTCCACCTGATGGTAAGTGGTTGCTATGGCCCATAGACATCTACATTTATCCTCGATTACGAATCAAAATGCAGATGCGTTGTCACCCGTGAGGACTAAGATGGAATGCCTCGTTTCCAGTAAAAAGGGTCTCCGGTTCTCTACACTCACCATACGAAACACAGCAACATTAAGCTGCTATTTTACGCTGGTAGTCGAGCCGACCCATTCGTGCTACAACTATACCAGAAATATAGCTGCAGCATGGCTCTACCACGTATAAATAATATTATTAATATTAATTTTCGATTATGTAATTTATCCAAAATCTACTACCTACCTACCATATATGTATAAAATTGAAAGAACACAAAATACTAGAACATTTTGATACATGATAATACTATAATTACACATAACTTGTATGAATTACATAATCATGAAAACTAAGCCAATATAAGTAAGGGTAGATTTTTCAATTGTTAGACAAAAGTTATCAATAAAATAAACCTAGCTGAGAATAAAAGAGAAACCAATAACCCTTTTTTATTCATACAATTGTAACTTTTAATTTGTTTAGGTCGTATTTTATCCTATGAACAAGAACAACATTTATCTGATGGTTAAAAAATCAGCCCTTAGACATAATATAAAGTATAAAATCATATGTAAAATTATGTTTCTAAAATTCTTGACACTATTTTGCTCACTGGAATTTGCACGCTCTTTAGTTGTTACTGTTTTATAAATTATCAAACATTAATATTTATATGTAGTCTGTATGTATTAATTATTATCTGTGTTTTTTACTTGCAACACTTTAATACCTATGGGGTCAAAATGGCTAAAAACCAAAAAATTTAAAGTTTTTATTTCGCCTATAACTCCGTCTCCTTCGGAGGTTCTTACACAGTCCCGCATCCCACTTGTTAAAGCTTATAATTTTTTTGCAATGGTTTATTTTCTGTAATGCGCGTCGCCATGTTATAAATTATGAAAGTTTTGACCAGATACAAAATTACTATAAACGCTCGCCTTTCCTCTTAGACGTACCTTACTCGTATTTTATTAATTCTACATCGAGCAATCTTATTAGTAGTATATAGATATTTAGCTTATTTGAAATTTGTAAGGGGTCTGCAGCAAGAGAAGATTTTTCAGGTATTTCTTAAGTACGATAACGTTAGGGGACAAGGTAAGGCAAGTTAAATAATAAATACACATTCTATTAGTTTGGTATCATCACACAACACATACGAACAAAGATATTTTAAATATATTTTTTTTATTCTTACCAACCTTAGCGCTTGTACTAGTATTAAATCCGTGAAATCGTGCAATTCTACGAACGCCCGAAGGACAGCCTCGTTGAATTCCGAACGCTCTCCCAAGTAATCTCCTATCGCTGTCTTGCTTAAACCCTCGCCTTTGTGAAGAAACTGCGCAACATCCTCAGGTGTCCTTTGTAATAGTCCGTTTTCGTAAAGGTATTCTATACCTGGAAAGATCAACACGGACTATTTAATAAACCAGACATTAAGGCTGAAACTTACTACTAAACTGTTTATTATTAACAAAATAAATAACCGATTGTTTTTGTTGGGTCGCTGTTTATTCTTTGTGAAGCAGTGAAGGTGCGCAGACTTTCCTGAACAATTATTATGGAGAGGAAATGGAATAAAACACAAATTTACTTTACTAACATTTGAATGATAACAATATAGTAGTGAGCTAAATATTTTGTCAGTGCTATTTTAAGTTAAACTAGCTATTCCCCGCGACTTCGCCCGCGTGAAATTTATTACAATTGGATTTCATGGAGTTTACTTTTTTTTCGCGAAACCCTAATTCTTTCTCTAAAATAAAATTAGCCTAATTTACTCCTTATAACATCAGCTATATGCTTGTGCCATTTCGGAGATCAGCCGGAACAAACAGACATACAGACAAAAATGTTAAAAAAATATTTTTTGTTATAAGTACCGTATATACTTTCATATACATTTGGTAAAAATTGTTATTATGACATTACAAACTATATGTGATGTTTATAACTTTTTTATTTTTTTTACTTAAAAAAAAACAGTTATTTAAAGTCTCAAATCAAACGTTTTTCAAAAAATTTTATTTTCAATCTTTCAAAATACAGAAAGAAGGAAAAATAGAGCTGTTAACGTCCTAAGTGGTCGTAAACTCGGCTCCCAGTTGACGTCATCAACTGCCAAACATTTTTCTGCGTTAAACGGGGGCGGAAGGCGTGGGCTGTTAAACGATAGATGCCTTTAAGGATATAATCCTCTTATAACATACCTATTTGAAGACCTAACTTTAATAGTACAAACCCATACATTGCGTCGACTGCAAAATGATTAATGTTCAATAAAAACTAAATTGTTCGAAGATAATTTTCTTTAGACATCGCGTTGTATAATCCACCACAACCACAAGAAATGTCATTTAGTGCCTGCAACTAAAGCACGAGAGGTAATAACTAAAAAGGCAACAAAGTTGCATTAGCCTTTTTGTGATCTACGAACTTCGAGCGTGTTAAATTGTAGATAGCCGTAATGACAAATTGCCGTGAATGATGCAAAGAAATAAAAATGTGGAAGCGGGTGCGCGACAAACGACATCATGTGGCAGTAACAAAAGTAACAAGCGAGCTTGTTAGTCTGACGACTCTTTCTGCAAACTTAGGATATAATGCATCTACAAACAACTATTAAAGCCTTAATATTTTGTGCATATTAATGCACGAATGTCAATTCCATAAAAAGTAATGCATTTATATCGTCATGAAGTTATTACCAACAAGCTGTGACGCCCTATTCCACCCCTCAGGGATAGGAGTATGTCTGCCACGTCTTCGGTTGTACACTTACCATACGAAACCTAGCAGCATTATGATGCTTTTGACGCTGGTATTCTGTGAGGAAGTAGGGACCTATTTGTGCTACAAACATAATATAGCGTACTTCTACCACATAAAATTTCCGGAATGACTGAATTGATTGTGATGAAACTTCACGATCAGGTAGAGAGCAACCACATCGTACTGCTCCACATTAGAATCTACCACGTATGTATAATTAATAGTTTATAATTTTTCTCTTCTTAATGAATAAATTTCATTGTGTTTCATTAATTAATGTGTAATTAATTTCCTAAAACGTCACCAATATTTTAAATGCAAATTGCATTAATTCTAGCAATCGCTTAAGCTCTACAACTTTGTTTCGAAAAAATTCCTGTGAATTATTTTCATATAAACGAATAATTGATATATGTATTTAAAGTTCTTTAAGATGACGTAGATATTCTTTTATCTAAACTAATCATAAAAAAAAACTCCGTCGCCTTATTTGCCTTCATCATTCAATGTATAAAGCCAAAATTTAGAGCATATCAAAAGTCCACTGCTGAACATAGGCCGCCCCATTGATTGTCTCATAAGGGAGATATGAACCATAGATGCCACACATTACACATTTTATTATTATGAGCTGTTATCAGGAAGATGCTGCTGCCCATCCCCTGGATCAGTTTAAGACTGAACAGAAACATCAGTTTCTCTGTCGCCTCTTAAGTACCTTCGATATGGAATAGAATAGATTAATTTTTAATTTAATATTGATTATTACATAATTCTTATTGAAAGTCATTTTTTATTTACCACTGGTTCGGAAAATACCTCTGTCCTGGGAAGAATCAGCAAGAAACCCAGCAAATCCATATGACATGGTGTAGTGCATGTTCTTACATTGCCACTATACGGTTACTACTCGATCGTCTTATTTAATTGAGTTGATTTGTATGGTGTTTTTGGAACGAAGATTCTTATACGAATAGGTACGAATTTGGCGGATGGGGGCTAGGCGAGAAAAAGTAAAATTTTTCCGTCACGACCCCTTCTGACGTAGTGTAGACGGGGCCTTGGCGGCTATAAATAAGGAAGCGAGATGGCGTAATAACCATCTCCCTCGCACTTTTTCTTATTTTGCCATGAAAGAAATATTATTTTATTTTAAATGACGCTTCATTTTAAAAGACGCTAGTAATTCATTTATTTGCATTTCTTAATCAATAATATTATAATACGTTTATCAATAATATTATACCTACTACGAAAGGAACTTCGTTCTAATCGAGTGTTACACGACACTCACGCATGTTGTTTTTTTTTTCATTAAACGGTGACGTTATTTGTATACCGAAAATAATTTTTAATATGACAGATTATGTTAAAAACAAATAAAATCTCGAAAGGATATTAATATAACTAGATTACAATGGCATCGATAAATTTATAGGGCCAGGGGAATAAACCATGACATATTGCATGAAATAAAATTTGAACTATGTATGAGTGCATGTACAAGGCTCAAGTTGGATGCACACTATATAGCCAGGAACGTTTGTACGTGGCACTTTATTATCCATATGTATTAGGTACGAATGCCTTTTAAATGAGGAATATAGCACAAGTTTATTAGAAAAGAAAAATATCGTTAACTACGTTTGCTTATTTTAAACTACTATTTATGAAGCACACTGAGTTAATTATTAACTCGGGTACAAACAAATTAGCTAGTTTATTTGTTACTTAATGGAGAAACAGACGGAATGGAAGCCTGTTGTGTGTGATACGTATATTATGTATTCTAAATTTGTAGGTAAACATTTGTTTGAGATAATTATAACAGTTAGTCATTAATTTTCAGTATAGTTTTTGTATGAATAGAAAAATAATACTTACTTTCATATATGAAAAACATTAAAATGTAACTGGGCATAGGTTTACCATAATTATTACCATTGTGTTAATAAACATTTTTAGATAAATATAATAACGTGACATCAAGCGTTATGGTGTGTAATAAATGCCATTATAAAATTTCTTATATTGTGCGATGCAGGGCATATTTCTAACTCCTGCTGGCAGTTGCGTTATAGATATTTTTATATTACAAAAATGAAATAATTGTTAATAATTTCTAAAAGTTGTATATTTTACACGTAATTTAAAGTCATCGCTTCCATATACCATCTCGTGTACATGCTACTTGTACAATACTCTAAATATATAGGTATGATATAAAAAGATGACATCTGGTTCTGCAATCGTCAATAGTGTGTCGAATATACGTGGTAGAGTATAGTTGTAGCACGAATAGTAAAGTATTAGTAGTATAGTTGTAGCACGAATGGGTCGGCTCGACCGGGGAAGGACCACGCTCTCACAGAATACCAGCGTAAAATAGTAACTTAACACTGCTGTGAAATATGGTGAGTGTAGAGAACTGGAGACCCTTTTTACTGGAAAAGAGGCATTCCATCTTAGTCCTCACGGGTGACAACGCATCTACATTTTGATTCGCAAACAAGGATAGATGTCTATAAGCCACAACAACCATTTACTATCAGGTGGACTGTGTGCTCGTTTGTCACACTATCCTAAAAAAAAACAACTATGGAGGATTAGTTACAAGAAGAGAAAGTCTATTATAGGCCCAGGTCTGTCAATGAAAAGTGAGAACAAGTGTTTCTGCTTTTCGCGCATTGTATATCCGAACTTCGAAGCCACACGATCTTTCTGGCAATCTTCATATTAATTAATTCTTACGACCACCCACAAAACGAAATGGTGTTGGGGTGATTGATTTTCTTACACAGCCATAACATGATATTTATTATTTACCAATTAGAACGCTAATAAAATAATGCGCATAATACAAATAACTTAATAACATGTATGAACAAAACACGATATATATTTAGTCTGTTTCATCAAAGTATGTTCCAGACTCCCAGGGCAGCCAGACCTACGTTATTTTATATGTACTTATATGTATTATATATAGTAGGTAAGAAGGAATGTACGCACATTATGTAGTTGACGTGTCAGTAATTTTCTTAAAAGCAGTTAGTAAAGGTACGTACAAGAAACGTTGACCTACTACGTTAAAATACTAAATCTCTTTTTAATATGTGCAAGTCGGTATTAGAAACGTATATAAGTAAAGTTGCTCTACTCCGTTAAAATACGAAATGTGGTTTTTGAGTTCTTGTACTATTATATATTCTATGATATGAGATACAGGACAGTGTTAGAAACTCATAATATTTAGTATTGCCAGACGCTTTCCACGGGCCATTATTTTTGGCGGGTGCTTAAAAACTCGATTAAAGATCACGGCAACTACACAAAAATAAGTATTAATTAAATAAGCTGAATTTATGTATGTAATTCGGGCGCCTGTTCAGAAACATTTTGAAATAGCCAGACCGATCCGAACAGTGTAAAATAACATTTAAAAAAAAACGTTACCCACATAGGAGGATCTTCTCCCGTGTCGTGCAGGCATTTATATATTATATGCACAAAGACCATTCATTCATCAATATAAAATAATTTGTAGGTCATGCAAACACTTGTTCCGTGCGGGATTCGAACCCTCGGCCCTGCAGCGCCACAAGCAATCAATTAGCCGGAACTGC